CGAGATTGTGCCACTGCTCTCCAGCCTGGTGACAGAGGGATACTCTGTCTAAAAAAAAAAAAAAAAAAAAATATACATGTCCTTTACTGCATTGTTTGAAAAATTAGAAACAATATCAGTGAATTCAAGATTGAATACATTGTGTCATACTCATAAAATATAATAGACATCATTTAAAATAAATGAATTAGCTCTTCATGAAACAACAAGGATGCGTTTCTAAAACAATGATAAGCATGAAGAAACCTAGAGGAATGTGTACAGCATTTACAGTAAACCATCACACAAAATTTAAAAACACATGAAAGAAAGTCATATAATATTTTGCATACATGCACACATAGAAATGTGAACAAAAACAGGAGCCTATAGGATATGCAACAAAATCAGGATGATGAGGCTCGTGTGGTGGCTCATGCCTGATAATCCCAGCATTTTAGGATGCCCAGGTAGGTGGATCCCTTGAGCCCAGGAGTTGAAGACCAGCCTGGGCAACATGACCAAACCCGATTTCTACAAAGAGATACAAAACTTCACTGGGTTTGCTACTCAGGAGGCTCATGGCTTGAGCCCGGGAGTTCAAGGCTGCAGTGAGCCATGAGCATGCCACTGCACTCCAGTCTGGGAGACAGAGCGAGACCCTGTCTGAAACAAGCAAACAAACAACACCCGCCTCAAAAAAATAAAAATAAAAATAAAATAATATCAAGACTATTATTTGAGGAAGGAGGTATGGAAATGGAATCTGGCAGGGACAGAGAGGGGGCTTTGATTTCATCTGTAAAATTTTATTTCTCAAAAAATAAAGATCTGAGAAAAACACAGCAAACTGTTAACATTTATTAAATGTTAAATATTAAATCAAGGAGGAGGCTACATTATTACATTATTCTCTAATCTTTTTATATTTGGACATATTGATAATAAAAATAGTAAACAGAATGCACTTAATTGCCAAAGCATGATTCAAAAGTTTCCACCCATGGATTTTATTACTTCTCCCAGTTAATTTTTAAAAAAGGTTGGGTGGATTTCAAAACATTGCATATTGCCAGCTATACTGGTGTTTCTTATAGCTGGCCCTGTTTCATGGGGTTGGGTAATGCTGGCACAGGGACTCTAAGGAATGTATTTTCATTATTCTAGAAAGAGTTTTAATGGTCTATTGTAGATCAGCATTAATGGGAGTCATGTAGATAAATCCCGAAGCAGGCTTTTCAACAGCTGCATTTTTTGCTCAGCCAAGAATAAAAAAGCCTTCCTCTTGCCCTCCTAGATAATTCTGCTAAGCAAGCATGTTGTATATTTTCAGGTACTTCAAATGAAACAATATGGAAGCATTTATTTAGGGTGTTTTGCATTGCAAACTTCAGCAGAATGGCAAGGCAACTAATCATTCCTTTGAATCTCTGTAATGAATAACACTTTGAATATGTTATTGATTGGGGAACAAACAGCACCATAGCCCATTTTCTCAGTGCTGTGTATTGAGACACAGCTGGTGTGCTCTGAGTTTGGCAATTCTGTGTTCACTATATAAATTAACCGGGACAAGGGTCTGTGACTTTAGAATTGCAGTATGAAGGTTAAATATGCCATTGACCTTTTTATGTCCAAGATACAGTGTATTATGTGTAAAATGTTCACCAAATTAATTTTGTCAGACGTTGTCTACAATCTAACTAAAAAACAATTCTCATTGGCGGAAACAGGAATGTCTGTAATAGATATATTTTAAGTGCCTCAATTGCAATGGCATTTAACATTGCTGAGATTATTAAACGTGATATTTATTTATGCATTTATATTATTTATTGACTGCCTGTCAAGCACTGTTGGATCTAGAAATAAAGTGATGACCAAGACAATTCTGCTCTCTCCAAATTGTTAATAATTTAATGTTTAATAGAGTCGAGAAAGTAGGTAATTATAAGACAGGAGAATAAGTGCTATGTGTAAATAAAGGGTGTTGAGGGAGCCCACAGCAGGGAAATCCAGCCCAGTCTAGGGTGATAAGAGTATCAAGGAAGGCTTCCTGGTAGAAGTGTGTATGCTGAGACTTCATTTGGAGACTGAAGGAAGAATAGTCCAAGCAGAGGAAACAGCACATGGAAAGGCCCAGAGACAAGAGAAAGTGTACTTTGGGCCAAATGTTCAGATCATTTCTTTGATATGAAGAGTCTTCACCACTCTGTGGCTGTATCTCTGAGATTCTTAGCTCAAGTCACCCTGAGAATGGCCACTGAACATTAATCATCAAAAAGTCCTAGGTTTGATCCTCAGCGCAATGCACAGGCCCCACCAAAGACCAGTTAAGTCAGAATCTCTAGGGGCTGGTCCCAGGCATTAGGACCTTTTTTTTTTTTTTTTTTAAAGACAGAGTCTCACTCTGTCACCACCCTGGAGTGCAATGGCATGATCTCAGCTCACTGTAACCTCTGCTTCCCCGATTCAAACGATTCTCCTGCGTCAGCCCCCTAAGTAGCTGGACTATAGGCACGTGCCACCACACCCAGCTAATTTTTATATTTTTAGTAGAAATGGGTTTCACCCTTTTGGCCAGGATGGTCTTGATCTCTTGACCTAATGATCTGCCCACCTAACCTCTCAGAATGCCAGATTACAGGCGTGAGACACCACGCCTGGCCAGGACTTTATAAAAGCTCTCCAGATGATGTGAATATGCAGTCAGGTTGAGAATCACCGATTGACAAGACAAATCCTAACAGATGTGTTGATTGTCAAACATGTAAGGCAAGTCAGAGAGGCAGAAGAGCTGTTCAAAGACTGCCAAAATGATCTGGCAGTGATGAACTGACCTTAGGGATTATAGCTACCAGCCTTCTCATGTGTAAAACCATGAAAAGAGTGACTCATATTCTAGCACTGGTTCTTGACATATTCAGACAGCATTTCACAGGTTTTTTTTTTTCAATTCATTAATTCATTCTCTCCAAAACACTTATCTAACCCTTCCTATATGTCAGTATCCTAGATGCTGTGGATAAGTATATGAGTAAGACATTAACTCTATATTTGGAAAAAAAGCACCCAGTCTAGTGAAGAGTGAGTAATCACAATCCTATGAAAGGATTAATCAGAGATGGCCATGCATTGCCCAGTTGGGGAGTGGGGCCAGCCAAAAGACCAGAGAAGGGCTACATTTTGAAGAATGAATAGGAGTTTGCAAGATGGGGAGTGCAGTTCATGGAGACAGAAAGACTTTGCGCATGCTTGAAAGCTTGAAGGCTGTGAGAAGCATGGCTTGAAAAAAGTGGGCTGGAAAACTGAGTTGACCGCCAAAGATCAAGAGACTGTTCTCTCCTATTGCCAACTGGCTACAACTTAGGCTTTGACAGTCTCTATGTAGCTGAAAGCTTTGTGCTCACAAGTCTCCATAGGGTTGGAAAGACAACCTCTTATCATGGTCATTGGAATACCGCTAATAGCAGAAATCAGGAGCTCAAAGTTCTGAGAGTGGTCCAAAGACAGCTGAGGATATAGTGTTCTGCTGAGGCTTTGAGGACCAGCTGAAGCACATCTCTAGTACTAAAGGTGTGTGTCACTGGGTAGGCAGTCTCTAAGATGGCCTCCAAAGATCTCTGCCTCTTGGTATTCACTCCATTATGAAATTCTCTTCCCTTGAATGTGGACTGGACTTATTGACCCTTTACTAAGCATAGAGTAGGATAGAAGTGTCACTTTTGAGATTAGGTTATAAAACCTAATCTTCCATCTTTGGTGTTCTCTGTGTGTGTGTGTGTGTGTGTGTGTGTGTGTGTGTGTGTGTGTGTGTGTGTCTGTCGCTCTCTTTCTCTCTCTCTCTCTCTCTCTCTCTCCCTCTCTCTGTCTCTCTCATTGTTCATCCTGAGATAAACCAAATGCCATGTTTTGAAGCAGTACTGTGCAAAGGTCCTTGGGGTAAGGGACCAAAGCCCACCAACAGCCATGTGAGTGAGCTTGGAAGCAGGTCCCTCCCCAGTCATTCCTTCAGATGACACTGCATTCCTGGTTGACAACTGGCTGCAACTTACTGGGAGACCTTGAGTTGGAGACACTCAGTTAAGCTCTAACCTGGTTCTTGAGGGACAAAAACTGAGATATAATCAATATTTCTTGTTTTAAACAAGAAACATTGTTTCTCTGTCTCTGGATACTTTGTTACACAGCCATAAATAGGATATACAGTCACCATTCACTGAGTTTCTATACATCTACATCCTCTGTGAAGACCCCACAGGTTGGTTACAGAGAGTTCTATTGTTCCTGATCATGATTGCCCTGCCCTGAGAAATAAGGTTTATCTCAGGCCTGAAATACATGTAAAAAGAAGAATGAAACACTAAGAGATTCAAAGTCTGTTCTGATGCTACCAGTTTAAAATGCAAGATGTTGAAGATTATAGTTGTTGGCAGTATTAAATGTGTTGTCAAATGGCATTCTTTTTTCATCTGAGAATGATGCCCCACTTCCTCTCTCTTCCCATCACCCACACAGCACCAGAGTGCATGCAACATTCAAAGCTGATCAGGAACTCAGGATAGCATCTCGGAGTCTTACTACTGATCTTCTGCCAAGCACAAGCCTTTTCCTATCTGGTTCTTTTTATTTTTATCTATTTTATCACAATCCTGAAATTTAGGATGATTTAGAATGTGTGTGTTTATTCAGCCTTTCTGGTACACCTTTCCTTTTATTTTCATATGATATAATTATTTTACCCTTCATTTGTTCACACACAAAAGATGTTTTGCATGGTAAGCTAATAACCTCCCCAGTCTTACTCTGGCATAGAAACTAACTTGAAAACCCAAAAACTACAGTAAAGATAATTTGATAAATAAAAACGTGCATATTTGATATGTTGATTTATTTGTTAACATATTTGGTAAACTTAAGGCTAAAAATACATAATGCTGCAACATATTAGAATCCTTCTAAATGAACAATTTATTCTGTGTCAAGAACCTAACCCATTTCTTCTTAACATTGTAACACAGGAGAAGAAAACCTCCTGGCAATTTTACGACGAAGATGGTGGAAGTACATGATTTTGGGACTCATAGACCTGGAAGCAAATTATCTGGTGGTCAAGGCTTACCAGTATACAACTCTGACCAGTATCCAGGTACCAATGGTTCTTCTTCGTTTCTCAGCTCCCTCTATCCAGATGTAGTTTATTTTCAATTTAGTCCTTAAGAATCTATATGCTAGTCTATAAATTTCACAACAAGAGGGAAACTGGTTGTATAAAAATTAACTTGAACTTTATTTATATGTCTTACAACTTTTAAAATTTAAGTGTAATTGGACATCTTTTTTTCTCTTTGCTTTGAATATATTGCAATTACTATTGAGAATGTGGAAAAATAATTTGTGGTTTTGAATGTTGTCAACTAATCTTATGTTAGTGGGAGAATTATTAATGAGTATAAAAACAAATCAATTTTAATCACAACATAACTTTTTGGAATGCTAATAGACTTTTATTAAATAATCAAACTGCCTAATAATCTTTTGTTTTACCAATTTTTAATGTATAGAATTAGCAACCTGAAGGGACAGGATTTTTCCCAAAAGCACAAGGATTACATTCTTAAAATGTGTTAATCATGAAGATAGCTACTGTGTTCCTCTCTCCCTTCTTCCCTCTCCCTCTCTTTCTCACACACATGAACACACACACACACACACACACACACACACACACAAAATTGCAAGTTTACCTTAACTTTTTACAATTTTCGACAGACATATACATTCCTCATTATACTGTAAATGATAAACTTAACTATTTTTGTTTCATCCTCACTTCTCTTTATATGGCAATATTATTAATTTCATACCATTGCAAAGCTCTAGGATAAAACGCAAAACAAAACATCGTTCTCATACTGGATTTAGTTTAGCTTTGAGAATCCCTGCCATCTTGTTGATTTGCATGCAAACAACAAAAACAAAAATGGAGAAACAAATAAGCAGCAAAGCACTTGAAAAAATTTAGATGAAATAGAGTGGGTGGGAAACTACCTAAGCCCAACTTAGTTTTCCTACCATCTGATTTTCATATGAACTTCAAAGATAGCTTGAAATGAAAGTAATTAATGGTAGCATTTTTCCAGGACCACTTCCATATGCACTTTGTGTTCCAAGAGATTTTGTGGGATGAGATTCCTAGTGAAGGTGCATATTAAAGAAAACAGAGAACTGATAGGAAACCTGAGCCTGCGTGGTCCCTTTAATCCTTAGTATCCTGTGACTTTCAGACTGATGTTGGAAGAGATACAAGGCAATAGCCAGATGCCCCTTGAGACTCCAGGAGTGTATCCTGCCTCTTAGCACTTGCTTTTTTAAAAATTTCCTTGTATGAAATCCTGTCTCTCCCTTTTAGAACTTTCTTTTCTCTAACTTTTAGAGCTCTGCTCTCCCTAAAGTTGGCTTTGCTTTCTTATTTCTACTTGTTTGTTCTTCATTCTTTCCAAGATGAAACAGAGACTCTCAAAATGCCCCATGCACAATATATAACACGTCTATTTGTTAAAAAAAAAAAAGTATTTGGGGCTACTCACACTCTCTGTTCTCTATACATTGTCAATTCTGTTAGGATAATTTTAAGGATCTTGAAAGCAAGGACTATGACTTTTTTAAATTAATGTATAAATCTACCTGGTACAGCATAATGTATAAATTAGCATTTAGACATAAACACACCAAATATAAATATGATTAACCCATAACCTAGGACTCACTCAGTTACATTTTCTTTATTTTGCTTAAGACCTCATGAATTCTAAGAAAACACACATACACAAGATGGTTGCAAATTCCAGAGGAATAATTTCAGTGCAGCTCTCTCTCTCTCTTTTTCTCTCTCTGTCACTCTCTCTTTTTTTTTTTTTTCTTTTTTTGGTCTCACTTTGTCACTCAGGCTGGAGTGCAGTGGCAGAAACATGCCTCACTGTTGCCTCAACTTCCTGGGCTCAAGCGATCCTCTGGCCTCAGCCCCCACAAGTAGCTGGGACTACAGGCATGCACAGCCATGCCTGGCTAATTTTTGTAGTTTTTCTAGAGATGGGGTTTCCCCATATTGCCCAGGCTGGTCTCAAACTCCTGGGTTCAAGAGATCCACCCAATTCAGCGTCCTAAAGTGCTGGGATTACAGGTATGAGCCACATGCCCAGCCCATATCTCTTCTTTAACAGCGATAGTTATGATGCCTTTCATATTCACATCTCCATACAATAAAGCTTTAAAATGGAAAAACCTTTTAGATATGTCATAATTGCACCAATAATTTACTATGCTGTGTACAAATGAAATGAGTTTCATAAAATTGGTGAATTTATCAGAAGTTTAATTTTGAAAACTTATGTATATTTTTATGATAAATACTAATACACTGAAAAATACTAGGAGAATAAAAATTATTGGCAGTGTTCTATTTATGTAAATCAACATTAATTATTTGGTGCAATTCGAAGTTGTCACTAGAAAAAAACAATTATTTGTTTCTTTCTTTCCACCTCCCCTTCTCTCTTTCTCACCTTTGATTACAAATGGTATAAGAGTATTTCCCACTACTGATGTTCCATAAACACCTATGTTTCTCTCTCTTAAACACACACACACACACACACACACACACGCACATGCGCGCGCGCACACACACACACACACACTCACTTTGCTACTTTTTTTAATTAATACCTTGCTCAAGCTGTTTCTATTACTTGGAATATCCTTTTTGCCTCTCCATCCTCTACCCGTTGAAGTCCCATGTATGTCAAGGTCCTCTGCACCTTAGGATGCTTTCAAATTATAAGTAAGGGAAATCCCAACAGAAACTGTCTTCTGAAATAAGGAAATGTAAGCTAGGCAGACAGTTGTGCACCTCTGTAGTCTCAGCTGCCCAGCTACTGGAGAGGTTGAGGCTGGAGGATTGTTTGAGGCCAGGAATTCAAGGCTGTCCTGGATAATATAGCAAGATCCCATCCCTAAAAAATAATAATAATAATAATAATAATAAATAAGGGAATTTATTGATTCTCATAACTGAACATCTAGAGAAAGGATAATCTTCAGGATAGTTGGCCAAATGTCTTAATAATGTCATCAAGGGCTCAGTTTTTGTTTTTTCCATATTTCCCCTCTACTGTCCCTTCTGCTAGATTTAACTTAAAGCAGGCTTCTCTTATGGTCATAAGATGGTTTTTGTCACAAATTGGAGATACATATCCTTCTTCTTTCATGTCCAGTGAGAGACAGTGAAGATGCTTGCCCACAACCATTGAATAAAAGGCTAGTGCTGTATTCCGATTGGGCCACACTAATGGCCAAGGGGAATGCTGTGAGTTAATTGGCTAAGACCTGGAGTATCTGAATCAATAGATGATGAGATTCTCTCACTGATTTAGCCAAATGTTTCTCAGCAGAAGTACTCCTAGCATTTTGGGTGAACAGTACCCACTGATAGAGTCAGGGTGGGATTAACAACATCCAGCCACATATCTGTCACCTGTTAAGGGAAAGGTGAGGCAGATGGATGCAGGAGGAAGAACCACAATGTCTCTACACCTGGCCTAGCTCCCACCTCCCATCAACAAACCCCACAATGAGAACAGGTCTCTCTCTCTCTCAATTCTGTCTCCCGAGGAGCTCTGCTTTTTAGCTCTATTTTGCAGTCTTTTATCTGAGAAGGATGTTTGCATTCCCATCTACTGCACCAAACTGTGAGCTCTTTAGAGCAAGGATAATTTCTTGTTCACCTTTGAATCTCTAGTACCTAGTAGAAACCCCAGCACATAAATAAATGTTTAAAGAAGTTAATTTTATACATTGATTTCTAGTATTTTCGAGCATAGAAACTACCAGTGGGCCTTTATCTAAACGTAGAGGCCCCTAGAATGTTCACACAGGTAGGGTGGGGAAAGGGAGAGAGGAACATTGGCTTCATACCAAAACTGGACCCATTAGCCCAGAGTCAAAAATTATTAATGGACCTATGGGGAAAATGAGGAAGGACTTTCCTGTTTGGAATCATAGTTCGTTTTGTTTTTTCTGTTGAGCATTGATACATTACAAAAAATTGTTTCTTAAGTTCAGTGAGTTTTTTTCAAAAAAAATTTTTTTTTCGAGTGTGTTTTGCCCGTGAACAGTGACAATTTATTCTTAATAGCTGGTCTCCTGATCCTCAGGTATTTAATTCAAACCTATGTTCTACACCATCACTATATTAATCCTGCCATCTCTCTCAAATTAGCCATTTGACACCCTATTTAATGCTGTATTCTATGAAAAAGTTTGTTTTAATTCTGTAGTAAAAAAAAATAACTTCAGTGAAATACCAATTAGTCTTCACTATAACTTACTGAGCAAGGAACAGGGAAGTAAAAAGTCAAGTTGAATCTAACAGTTCTAGAACCATTCTGCCACCTATAACAAATACATCTATTAAATAATAAGTGATCAGAACAGAAGGCATTTGCTCTGGGAGCCATGTATATAGGGCTGTTTAGTAATTTAGTTCTGTTTATTCACTGCAGATTGGTGGAACTGACAAGAACCCACAACAATTTTCCCTTGTTTCTATAAATATTAATTGAACACATGATATGTGTTTTACTCATACTAATCAATAAAGAAGACACATTTATTTAGCATCTGAGAAATGCACCCATTACCGCAGGTGATTTAAAGAGAAATGAATCAGCCTTGCCCTACAGGAACTTATGAACTTATAAAGGGGATTAGAGGCAAGTTTAATGATAGTAACACCAAGTGTGGCAAGAGAGCAGACACCTAAGTGTTATGATTGTCAAAGGAGGCAGAGATGATGGTTGTATGAAAAGGCAAGACAGTGTCCATTCAGATGGGTCTATGAGATTGGATAAAATGTGGAGAGGATAAAATGTAGGTATTACTTTGCATGTGAAACAAACCTCATAACAGAAGCCTGAGGACCCAAAACTCAAGGAATATGATTGGAGAACAATTATTTTCATCTGATTCATACAGTCACTCCAAAAGTAATTACTGAATACTTTGTGTTCAAGACACTGTATTAGGTGGTGAATGCACTTGTGAGCAAAAATAAATACTGTACCTATTCTCACAGAGCTTCCAGTCAAG